TCTACCTAAGGGTGTTATGGGATTTGGATCGGGCTGTATCACTGATCTGGGCTGACCTTTGGATGGTCATGAGTCAGGTGGATCCTGGCACCAGGCCAAACCCTAAATTTTGGCTCTAATTCTCCTAATCCTGAACCCTGCTCCCTGGGCATAAAGTGGATCTGGCCTGCCAGCCACACAGATAACAGACTTAACTTCAACAGGGGGAGTGGGGAGAAAAGGAACCAGCATATTTATTAAGCACCTACTATACGCTAAGAGCTCTCTACAAATATCTCAGAAAGTCAACTTCTCCCATTTAATGTGACTTGATATTAAATGGGGTTGGCTTGTACTTATTCATAAATTAGCACTAACCTTGTAATCCGCTTTACTAATACCTGGTTGTATCGCCTAGGTCTGGTACTCAGCGATGATCTAGATGAAATTATGTCCATTTCTTTTTCAATACAAAAGAAAAGATTATTTCAGTAAAGCCATTCTCCACCATTAATTAATTCCCATTGATCTAGGTGTTTCTTTTGGAATTCATGCAGAAGCATTCATGAAATACACAGTCTCCAAATATATGTTAATCCCCCCCTTCCCTCATTCCCCCCACTCAGTCATGCTGGGCCAGGCTATCCATGTCAGTGGTGAGAATAGCTCACCCTTTCCATTTTCTACTTTGAAGACCCAAGTGAAGCAATAAGGTAGGGTAGAGGCAATGAGTTCCTTCAACATGATTCAGCATCCTTGTTTTCAGGGGGCAGGGGTGAACAGGGTAGAACTGGGGAAGGGGAGGGTGGGAACTGATTACTCCCTGATCAGGGTGCCTGCCCCTCCCTCTCGACAGCCCTTCTTCCTGTCCCCTCCCCTTCCTCCCCTCCCCCTGGCCTGCTGCACTGGATGGAGGTGAAACAGCTTCCTGCATGTTGGCTGCCTCAGCTGCTTGTGCTGCTTGGAATGGCTGTGATAATAATGCATATAACCTGGCCAGTGAGAGGCTGGCCTCATGTCTGTAAGTAAACGGTATTTCATGGGAACTGCTATTTCCAGCAGGAGAGTTGTGGATCCTGTGATAATGACTTAGTAGAAACAACTTGCAGAATGAGTATGTAAATGACCGAGGCAAACGTTGGCATCTGTTTCGTACAGATTTTTTTTTTTAACCCACTCATGGCAATGGGAATGCACAGAAGAGGGAGTTATAATGCTTAAAGCCACACTATCCCAATTTAACTGTTCTAATTGTCAACAGATTCTAAATAAACTAGAAAGAGAACGAGGGCTAGAAGATGCCCAGAAGCAGCTCCTACACGTAAAAGTCCTATTTGATGAGAAGAAGAAATGCAAGTGGGTGTGAACATCATGTTGTGGCCTGGCTTAAGAGGGTGAAATTCTTCCGACAGCTTGGAACAAGATGGTGGCTCAAGCTATGTTGGCGCCTTTAAAAAAATGTTTGCACATAGATTCCTGGAATCTTTCGTAAGAGACCAAGGCACATGCACAACTTTTTAGAGAAGCTGACCAGCCATTGTGCCTGTTGTAAATACTTTGGAGACCCTTGTGTAAATATAGATGTCGTGGTGGTTGTAAACAGCCTCCTCGTTTACAGAGAATACAAGGCCAGTAAGCAAGTGTCAGTATTATTGTAACTACAGTTTCCACTTAAGCACAATGATTCAAGTGGTTTTGTCTCAAAACTACAGCTATGTAGCACTTGTGATGACACTGAAATCCAACAGTAAGATGATGCTGCCAATGCCCATCACATAATGTGAAATGTGGAGGGATCTCCCATCCACGAGGAGGTGTGGGTGGCAGGTTATTGGTGCAACCTTGAGGACGTGCAGTGTCGAAGCTCGTTCCCAGTAGTTCTTGGAAAAGGTGACTGCAAAATGTGGTGGTGTGTATGTACACTTAGCATTTGTGTGTGTGTTTTTTAAACCAAAAACTTAACAGTGTGGCAACATTGTTGAAAGGGCTCGTGTTTTTCGGTAGTCGCCAACTGCATTCCATCCAACTCACCTGTATTTCACCAGTGGCCTAAAGCAAGCGCTTTGGTTTGTCTGGATGCGGTAGCCATTTGCGTGGCACTGTGTTTCTGCCTTGCGTTGCATACTTGTTTTTATTCAAAAGTACCAAATGTACTTGACCGTGAACGTGTTTGCTGATAACTTCCACGTGTTTTTAAAAACCCTCCTCATTGACATTTATTATTTCTGTGCACAAACTTGGCACAAGAATTCGATCAGAGCTCTCCTGGGTAGAGTACCTCATGTCCATCCCGTCATCTCTAAACTATCACTTCCCCACATCCTCCTTGCTTTAGGTCTCAGGTGAAATCAATGGGTATTAACACCTGTAAGCGTGTGGTAAGATGATGATACATTTTACATTACATTACATGAAATTGCTGTACACACTGGAGTATTATATCTATATAAAGGCCCGAGGCCTGAAAGGTATTAGTATACAGCTTGGTATCTTTGTCTTATTATGTATTTTTTAAAGAGTATTCCTCAAAGGAAAAAGTCCAAAAAAAAAATACCCATTTTCATTCATGCCTTCGTTCAAATGATCCCTTTCTAGTGATACTGTAATCTTTTATTGCTGGTTTTGTATCCTGGATTTTTGCTGCTCATGACCAAGTTCAATACCACTGTGTTTTCCCTATAGTATAGCAGAAGAAATAAATTGTCATCACCGTCAACCTTTCTTGTGGTACCTCGCCCTCTTGGCTGAGGTTCAGAATTCCCAGTTCCAGCCTATGAAATTTCCCTACAAGTCAATGATCCCATGCCCCTTTTAGAAGCACTTGCCAACACTGTAGTGAACATCAGGTTTAAAATTTGCATTTTATCCTAGATGAATGCAAGTGTCTCCCTCCTCCCACTGAGTATCTGGTGGAGTGAGAAGGGTCAAACACCCAAACAATGAGCAAGGAGAATAGTAAATGCCCTAAATAGGCACTTTTCCTGATTCCCATAGCTTTTGACCATTGCCTGTCCTGTGGACACACCTCAAAGATACTACCAAAAAGTCTCCCCCATAGGTGTAAAAGGTGAGAGGACGGGTCCCACGAACGAAACATGGTGGAGTTTTTGAATGAAAGAGTAGGTATGGCAAACAATAGTAGAAGAGAGAGCTTCCCAAAAGATGGCCCTTCTTTTAGGGTGGAGGAGAAGACTACGAAAGGGTGAGAACTCAAAAGAACAGCTGTGGCTTTATCATAGTATTTGCTGAATAATACTTTTTAGGGTTTCCCCCTCAAACCCTTTGGCACACAAGTACTGCAAGGGCTGGGTTCGCTCTTCCAGTGCCTGTGCTGGTAGGAACTTTGGGCAAATTGTTTACCTCTTTGTGCCTCAATTTCTGGAAAATCTTTCTAAGCTACCTCACAGAGGTGGTGTGAAGACTCGCTGATGTTTGCAGAGTGCTCGTTGATTCTCACATGGAAAGCACGATCTAATGCAGTTTTGTGGAGCACACTAGCCCAAGGCAGTGAACGGCCTGATCAGACGTGCTGAAGACAATCAGTAACTGAGTCCATATTAAACAGCAGCCAGAGAAACAACTGTCAAACAATTTCTATTGTTAACTTTATTTTCTGATTTGGGGTGAAGGTCAATTTATTTATAAGCTTTTTTTTTCCTAACACTAGCGTCTACAGCAGCATTTTATGATTAATTCTGTTACTTTTTCAGTATTAGATTTAAAATCAATTTCTTGTATACATGATTGAAGCTGTTCTTGGAGATGAATGTTTTAAATGTGTATATCCAAAATAAACACTTTGATGTATCAAAGGCTATTCGCTTGCCACTTACATTTGCTTTTATCATGTCTTCGATTTTTTAAGGAATTGTATGGAAATGTTCTTAAGAGACACACTTTGGCTGTGGACAGATATCCTAGATGTTAAGGAAGTCTAGTTCGTGCTAAGTGGGCTCCTGCTTCATTAAATTCTTGGACTTCGATATTTAACTCTCTCCAGTAATCACAGCAACTCATATTTATGTGGCACTTTTAGGAAGATGTCTAGATAATTTATATTCCATTTTGTGTTGTAGAGTTGAGATTTCGTTAGTTGGAATGAAATTATTCCAGAGTTCCCCTAATGATGTTCCATAAAAAACTGTGGCTTGGTAAGAGACACCACTGTATGGAGTGAAAAGATCCTTTGAGCTGGTATCCGGAACATTTGGGTCCAAATCCTGATTCTTCCAGTTATCTGGCTATACGTCTTTGAGGAAGAGTGAATGATGGGTCTCAGTATTCACATGTGGGATGAGAAGCTAACAACTGGGTCACCTCACTCACAAAGCTGCCTTGAGGATATGTGCATGGTAAAAGTGCTTTATAAACAACAATACGTACAAATGGGAGCAAGGGGGAAGAAAGAGGTGGCAACCTGGTTAAGGTTTTTAGATCCAAGAAAGGGGCAGCTCTAAACCTTTTTAGCATGACTGAGCTATATGTTGGCAGTCCTTTCTTTTTACCAGTATGGAAGGCAGACAGTGTGCAGAGAGTGCCACAGGTCAGGTCGGCACTCCTGGGTTCCAATACCAGCTTTACCAGCTGCTCCCCAGGTGACTTCGGCAAAGTTATTTCTCCATTTTTAGCCTCCAGTTTCCCCCTCTGTAAAATGAAAGTAGACTAGATGGCTTCTAAGTTCCTTACCACTCTGATCCTATCATTTTATTTGATCTTTCAGTCATTCTAAATCAAGAAAGCCCAAAAGAACATGTTGTTCACAGCTCTGCCTTCTGGGGCTGAAGAGAGAACAAGTTTAAGCCTCCACCATGTAACAGGTCACAACGGTGATGCCTTACTCCTCACTTTACTGCTCCTCTTCGGCTTTCCACCCCTCCCCCCCCACACACTCTTCTCTTCTCCAGGATAAATGTGCCCAGTTGTTCAGATCCTCCAACTTATCCCACGTCATGAATTCAAGGCCCTTCACCATGCTGGCTGTCCTTCTTTGGATGGCATCAAATTAAAAATGAGCCAATACATACTGATAGAAAAATATTTATTCAACTTTTAAAATAAATAATGTGCTTTTGAAAAAAGCAGACATTCATAGTAAGCACAGATTTCAAGAGATTGTGAGGTTTTTTCCTGTAGTGGTCACAATGAAGTACACCTTAAAAAAAAGTTTGGTTGTAATCAAAATCAGGATATTTTTATCAGGCCTTCTTATTAGCCACTATCTCCCAGATGGAATGCAATAGGGAACCAGGTTTTAGAAAGAATGCCAGTTTACTCAATTTAGAGTAAAATTAAGGAAATAATTTTGAACTTTGATTCCCATATCACAGTTCCTTTTAAGGGGTGTGTGTGTGTGTGTGTGTGTGTGTGTGTGTGTGTATTTATACTTCTTAAAGGATTATAAGTAAACACCCTAACAAATTTCTGAAAATGATTCTTTTAATGCAGCTTGTCTTTAGTGTATATTTAAGCAATAGGGCACATACTTGGTACTTTTTCCAATTACAGGCAAGATGCTCTTTTGGCAAATGGGAATCAAGCCTCTCCATGCCACAAAGGTGTCAGTTTCCATCTTTACTGAGTCACTGATGGGACTGCCCCGCTGCCGCCTCACTCCCCGGGGGGCCCAAGCTCTTCCAGCTGCCTCCGCTGAGCGCTCTCTAGTTCTTCCAATCTTTTTCGAAGGAGAGACAGCTCTCGTTCATGTTCCTCTTCCTTAAACCAGGGGAGAAGCACAGCAGAGGGAGAGTTACGGCTCTCTGCTGCCTCGCTCACGTGCTCTGCCCACTCTGACCTCCAGCAGGAGGAGGACAGCGGGGCCCATCTGCCCCACTGCCTGGAGGGCTGGATTATCAGCCAGTCCTGCCTCCTCCTGCCTCCCCCTGTAACCCTGAACAAGGCTCATCTTCTCAAGCTGTAAATTTCAGCAGGGAGCTAATTAGGAAGTAAGAATGCCCTTCCATATCACATCTGTATTCATACAGCTCTCTTCAAACAGGGCCTCAGTTTGTATAGTAATTCATAAACAAAACACTGAACTATTCCTCTGAAACCAACTAAAGTTTGGAGCTTTGAGTTTTCAACGTTCACGACTTACACTATAAAATGCAACTTATTTAATTAGCTTTCAAAACTCTGCAACCTTCCAGTCAGTGACCGTCCCCTACAAAGTTCTCCTTTCTGCTGCCTGCACTTCACTCCTCGAAGGCGAGCAGGCAAGATTCCAATCGCTACTTGTCTAAACTGTCCTAACGAGTGGTTTAGAAGGGGAAAAGATAAAATCTGGGGACAAAAAGGAAGCTTATGAATTTTTCAAAGGTCTTGGTCATCAACTACATTCACAATTTTATTGTAAAAGATTAAATCAGTAGAATGAAGTCCACCTAATTATTTCACCAACAGAAAACAAAATCTGAAAGTATTCTTACCGGAAGGTGAGGAGGGAAAGATGCTTCCACCCCGGAAGGCAAGGGTGCTGACAACAAATTCACAGAACTGAAGGATGTTGCTGGGGGCATGTTCGGAACCAAGATCAAAGTTCGAAATTCATCATGTCTTCTCTGTATATCCTTCAGTCGTTTTTGGAGCTTACTGTAGTCTTCATATGGCACATTTCGTCTTTAAAACAGAAGTCATATTGTTTCCCTGAAATACATCTTTCTTCAATATGCTATTCAGCATGCTCTGAACTGGAGAAAGTTCACAGGCCTACTCCTTTTTTTTTTTTGGCTAGGCAGTGGGGTTAAGTGACTTGCCCTGGGTCACACAGCTAGTAAGTGTTATGTGTCTGAGGCCGGATTGGAACTGTGGAGGCCCTCCTGAATCCAGGGCCGTGCTCTATCCACTGAGCTACCTATTCTTTTGAAATAAACAACGTTAATGGGCTGCAGAGTCGCTCTACAATGCAGATCATCCATGTGAGGGCTTAACAATAATTAGCTCAGTTCTCCAAAGATCCTCAGTTGCATCAGTATAGGCACTGCCCTTGTGATACTAATCTCCCAAATTTAGTAATTAGCGGCTTCTTGGATCTTTGCTCTTAGGCTCTGATAGCACAGCTGGGCCTTCAACAACCTCAGCCCAACCAATCCCACCCGACAACCGAGGCACAGGAATAAGGTTTTGGTGAAGATTTTACATAGTTATCATTAAATCAATGGATTAACTATTTTAAAATAATTCCATTGCTACCTTACACTCTAAAAAGTCTTTTTCAGCCAAAATAGTGAATGGCCTCCTACAACTCACAAAAGATGTGAAATGCAAATGCAAAATTTAAGGAAACGGGAAAGCTCCACGCAGGCCGGTAATCTGCCCACATGGTGCCCGCCCTTCACCTCTAGCAAGGATGAGACAGGGCATGGAGAGGATAAGGAAGGTGGGCTTTGACAGGCTCCCCAAAGCACACAGACTTGTGCATGAGGACCGCCCTGCTTGTTCCCTCGGCCACTGCTATCTAGTATCTAAATGGATGTGGAGCACAGAAGAGAGCTTATACTTTCTTTTACAAAGGGAATTTGATGCCCTCTATTACTGACTACATCACGGTCTAATGAAAAGTTGGTGCTGACTTGGGAATCTAGAAACTCCAGGATGCTTCCTTCACTGAGAAACAATTACAAACATTTTGGTGGCAATGACTCCCTGGAACATCACTGTACACGGTTAAACACAACCATCTTGTGTTATGGGCGATTTCAGGTCCAGAAGGTCTGGGAGCCGGAAGCAGGTGACTGTCAGTGAGCTGAAGCTGAAACGTTTTTTTATGAACCACACTGAAAATAGGCATGTATATTATGCTGGTTTCAGGAGAGTGTGACAGGGCTGAAGCTGGGAGGCCAAATGCAAGATCCCAAGGGCCCCAAGACTGGTCCCTGGCTTACAAACCCCAGGCTGTTCTTTGCAGGGCATTGCAAGGGCTACCTCTCTGCTTCTCAGAAGAATCTTGTGATAGGCCAGCCCCCACAGGCCACTGGCCACTGCTGTGGTTTCCCAGAACCCCTGGCCACTTCACACCAAGGATGTTTATGGGCGTAAAGGATGTTGGAAGAAACCAAGTTTAACCTCATAATGTGAGCTTTCAAATACAAAGGGAGTGATAAAAAGCATTTTGTTACCTATTTAAAACCTGATTTTCTGTTTCCAATTCTTCATTTTTTGCTTCCAGAAGTTCTACTTTTTCTTGCAGTTTCTTCAACTTGTTTTCATAGAGGGATTTTCTCTACAAATATAAAGAGGTCTCCATTTAATGCACATGTGGGAATTCACAATCTCTCCTTTAGTTCAAATGTCCCTGAATATATTTTTCTGCCCCCGCCCCAAAGTCCCATGACACCTTTAGTTACCTCCTTTAAAGGTTTTAAAGATGAGATTTTATTGAATGTTAAAGGTATCAACCCCACATTTCCATGTCATTTGTAACTGACCTGATAAACATTATAAATGTTAAATCAGAAAAGGTCGTGTCACTAACAAAGTTGCATGTAACCTAAAAAATAGGCAGGAGTTGGATGTTACTAATTTTGTCTTCTGCACGGCCATCACCCCCACCTAGCACAGTGCTTCACCTAGAGATCACAAGCTGTGACTTTTCTCAGCCCAAACCTCTCTGAATTTCGATGGCGGGGGTGGGCGGGCAAGTCGTAGAAGCTTCTTTAGCTTGGGAGGGGGCCTCTACAAGGTCCCACAGAACCATCCCAACCTCGCACCCAAAGGAGGAAGTTTTAATTGACCAGCAAATACTTGAAGATCTTGGGGCCACAATGGCTGGCACATCCCAGGTACTCACTATTTATTATTGAATATTTTATTTACTAAAGTTGATTGAGCCTGCCTACAACTGGAACCTCATCGTAAAGGCATATTCCAAAAATTTATAAACTGCTATGAGATTAAAGTCAAAGCCAAAAACATCGTTTCAAAGGACTGAATTCCTCAAAAAAAAATACAAGGTAATTTAACAGCCATACCTGGCTTCAGTGAGAAAAATATTTCTAAAAACTGACTTTTGTTCATGTAACCCTATTTAAAAGTACATGAGGAAAATCTCTTTTTAATGAAAGGGCTAACTAGGTAACTTCTTTAAATAAAGGAATAATTATTGCTACAACTCCAAATAATTTCGTTTTGTAAAACTGTGGCATGTGTATATAATGTCTAAGTGGACATTTACAAATGTCTATTTACAAATATGAGATGGCTCATTTCTACTAACCGCAGGCTCCAGGCCTTGCCATGTTTTCGACAAAGGAATCACGGAACATGGCACCGCTTCTTTGAGGACCTGTCCAGAACACCATGTGGCCATCAGAGCGCTCCATTCGTTCTCTTTTTTTTTTAAAAATGACAGATACTACCATACTAAGCATAATCATCACCGTCACCCATTAACAACAATTTGACGAGAGCCTATCGTAGGCAGGGCTTCCTGCCGAGCTCTTGGGGTGACAGATCCCCAAGAGATTACAAAGCACCACCACACCAAGTAAGATGCTAGGGGAGTGTGCAAGTGCACGCGGGCTAGCTCTGCAGCGCGCGGGAAATGAGGCGGACCCTGGCAGAAGGGCAGCAACGAGATGCCGGCAGGGACCCTGGAAGACCACCAGCCCAGCCCCCTAGCGCTGTGGGCGAGGTAGCGGAGACCCAGCGGAGGAGGCACTGGCCCCAGCACTAAGCACAACAGCTGCGGCCAAGTCCTGGCGCTTCAAATCCAGTGGTTTTCTGGCCTGCTACAATAGCTTCTGGGGGAGTGTTTTTTAGGGAGACATAAAGCTAGAGTTAAAAATGCAGATTGTAGAATTTTTGAACTAGGCATCAACGGCTGGACTAGATGGCCTTTTTCTAGACAAATGCAATGGAATCAGTTCCCCTCCAGCCTGCCCTCTGCTTCACAGCAACACAGAGCCAAGAGAGCCCGGAGAGACCATCTCCCCATTGCAGAGGCAAGGAAATGGAGGCCTAGAGAGGTCAGAAAGTCATCGAGGGAGCAGGCACCAGATGTCAATGACCATCGAACATTTATTAAGCCCCTACTATGTGCCAGGCACTGTGCTAAGTGCAGGGGATACAAAGGGGCAAAAGTCTATTCCTGCCCTCTAGAAGCTTACAGTCAAATCGGGGAGACAAGCAAGTAAGTATAAAGAAGCTATATACAGGATACATGGAAAATAATGAGCAGAGGGAAGGCACTGGAGTTGAAAGACTGAAAAGTATGTGCTGGGAAGGAATGTACAAAAAGACTTGAAAGGTAGGACGTGATCAAGGCTATAAAGGGCTTTGAATGCCAAAGAGAGCATTTCACATTTGATCCTGGAGGGGAAAGAGCTGGAGTTTACTGAGTAGGAGAATGACACGGTCAGATTTGTGCTTTAGGGAAATGACTTTGGTGGCTGGATGGAGGATGGATTGGAGTAGAGAGAGATGAGAGGCAGGCAGGACCCCCCACCCCCACCCCACCCCGGCAGCCACTGCAATAGTCCAGGGGTGAGGTGATGAGGGCTTGTACCAGACTGGGCCATGTCAGAGGAGAGAAGGGGGCATATCTCGGAGATGTTGCAGAGGTAAAATTGACAGGCCTTGGTGACAGCTTAGATGTGGGGAGTGAGATATAGTGAGGAGTCCAGGATGACTCCTAGGTTTTGAGCCAGAGGGCCTGGGAAGATGCTGTTGCCTTCTACAGTAATAGGGAAAGTTGGAGGGGTTGGGTTAGGGGGGAAGAAAACAAGATCTATTTTCTACATACTAACTTTAAGATGTCTACTGGACATCCAGTTTGAGATGTCTGAAAAGCAGCTGGAGAAGTGAGATTGGAGGTCAGCAGAGAGACTGGGGCAGGTTAAGAAGATTTAAGAATCATTAGCATATGAAAAGGTTTTGCACAAACAAAGCCAATGCAACCAAGATTAGAAGGAAAGTAGAAAACTAGGAAAGAATTTTTACAACCAGTATCTCTGATGAGGACCTCATTTCTCACATATAGAGAACTAAGTCAAATTTATCAGAATACAAGTCATTCCCCAATTGATGAATGGTCAAAGGATATGAACAGCAGTTTTCAGATGAAAAAAATAAAGCTATCTATAGTCAAATGAATAAATGCTATAAATCACTACTGATTAGAGAAATACAAGTGAAAATAACTCTGAAGTACCACATATCACACCTATCAGACTGGCCAATACGATAAAACAGGAAAATGATAAATGTTGGAGAAGATGTGGGAAAACTGGAACACTAATGCATTGTTGCTGGAGTTGTGAACTGATCCACCAACCATTCTGGAGAGCAATCTGGAACTATGTCAAAAAGGCTATAAAAATGTGCATAGCCTTTGACCCAGCAATAGCACTTCCAGGGCTGTATCCCAAAGAGATCATAAAAATGGGAAAGGGACCTACATGTACAAAAATATGTGTAGCAGCTCTTTCTGTGGTGGTAAAGAACTGGAAATTGAGGGGATGCCCATCAATTGGAGAATGGCTTAACAAGTTGTAGTATATGAATGTAATGGAATATTATTGTGCTATAAGAAATGATGAGCAAGCAGACTTCAGAAAAACCTGGAAAGACTTGTATGGACTGATGCTGAGTGAAGCGAGCAGAAAACAGGAGAACATCGTACACAGTAACAGCCATGTTGTGTGATGAGTAATATTGATAGACTTAGCCCTTCTCAGCAATGCAAGGATCTAAGACATCTCCAAAAGTCTCATGATAGAAAATGCTCTCCACATCCAGAGAAAGAGCTATGGAGTCTGAATGCAGATCACAGCAGACTATTTGCTGTTTTTTCCTTCTGTTTTGTTTTGTTTCCCCTTTCTTGTGGTTCCTCCTATTGGTTCTAATTCTTCCTTACAACATCACTAATGTGAAATGTATATGGATAGCCTATATCAGATTGTGCGCCATCTTGGGGAGGGAGGGAGAGAAAAATTTAAAACTCAAAAGCGTATGTAAGTGATTGTTGAAAACTAAAAATAAATTAATAAAGAAATCATGCATAGAGATGGTAATTAAAATCAGGAGAGCTGATGAGGTCTTCTGTAGAAGGAGAAGACCTTAGACAGAACCCCGAGGGACAGCTATTGTTCAAAGGCATGATGTGGAGGAGGATCCAGCAAAGGAGACAGAAAAGGAGTGGTCAGGTGGAATACCAGAAGAGGGATGTCCCAAAAAACTAGAGGGAAGAGAGCATTCAAGGAGGAAAGGGTGATCAAAGTGTGAAAATTAAAACCAAGTCTGAAAGTCAAGGAGAATAAGAAATGAGAAAAGGCCATTGGATCTGGCAATTAATGGTTTTGGTGGAACGATGAGGTTGGAAGCCAGACTGTCAGAGGTTAAGATGATGTGGAATTCAAACACAGGCCATCTGATTCAATAGTCAGTTTCCCCTGAGTTGGAAGGGACTTTGACAGTCATCTAACTCAGTGATTTATACCTCAAGTGGGCTATGTCATGAACCCTAGGGTAAATAATCAGGGAGAGAAGACAGGTCACATCTCACACCAAGGCTCGTAGGGACTATCTCCACTATGACTCCACTACCCCTTCACCCATTATTGTGCAACATCCCCCAAGTCCACATGCTCCCCAGATGGTTGTGCAAGCTGCAAACCCCACCCTCACACCACCCAGCTGTCCCCTCACAGCTGACCATGATCTGGGTACCTGCAAACCCTCTAAAGCTCTACTGGCACCACTGTGAAAGCCCCTCCTCCCTGCCCCCTCATGGCTAGCATAGGGACTATTTGACAGAATGGACTCTGCACTCGGGGAAAGTGGCTGGGGAGTAAGAGCTCTGCCTCACCACGTTCCATTCAGCAGAAGTGGAGGGGTTGCAATCTGCACTACCGATCTCACTGCATTATTTTTTCTTCCAAACCCACCCCTCTTAGTTTCCCAGGTTCTCAACACTCTCTTTACCCTTGCCTCCTACCCTCCACTGAAACTGCTCTCTCCAGACTTGCCAGTCTAAGCCTGTCTACTATCCCCATCCTGCTTGGCCTCTCGAGTGTCTGACACCACTGACCACACTCTCCTTCTAGATGCCCCCTCTTACTTCTCTGGGCTGCTGAAAACATGTGTATCACCTCTAAAAATTCCTATCTGCACGTTTTAAAAAACTTGGAAACAGAATTGTCTGATCTGTACTATTTATCAAAAAATACAAAACCTTTCATACAGCTTATTTATAAGAACAAGTGACTGACATCAGGGAAGATTTACTAATTTATATTCAACAATAACTTTTGAATTACTGGAGGATAGGATTGAAAAATGAGTACTGGGATTTAGTAAGCAGAGCCAAAGATACACTTCTTCTATGTAGATTTATGCATGTTTGTGAGGGATCTTTTTCAGCTGACAATCATTAAAACCAAGTTATCAAGATAAGCTAAACTTAGAAGCAGATGCTTGAATTGCTAAGACACAAAGTGTTTACCAAGATCTTCAAAAAAGAATGAAACATCTTCAATCACATTGCTGTCCCTAAAAATACCACTATTTGAGTGAGAGCAAAAAGATTTTCCATACCATTAATAAAGAAAATATTATTTTCAAAATACATCTCATATTCTTAAAGCTTCTATTTTCTTTAAGTTGCAAAATGTTATAACACAAATGTCATAACCTAAGTAAATACTCATATTCTTCAGATGCATGCTTGAAAATATTTTACTGACAAGGATATGTGATCAAAAAATGCAGACTACTTAACTACTCCAAATCCATTAACAGCTAGGGAAAGTGAGGCCCAAAGGGTTTAAATGAGTGACTTCCAAAGAATGGCAGTGGCGTACATGTGATTCACTTTGGTGGCCTAAGTCACCACTGGATGTCACTTGTGCCCCAGAATCACACAACCCCAAACCAACTCAATAACTGAAGAAGTTTCTACCTAAGATACTTTAAATGAAGGCTTCTTCAAGAAGAGTAACGCCAGCTCTCTTCAGGTCAAGCAAAGCGGACAGAATTTGGTCTCCTCCCAACATTCTAGGGCTTAAACCAGTAAAAGGAAGTTGTGCGCTGAAATCGTCCTGGACCATGAAAAATCTAGACACCACTAGTACTGCACACAGTCACTATGACAGACACAAAAAGACGTCGAAAAGTACACATACAAACAAATACAGATTCTTATATTCAGATGAGAAACCACTTGTACTCATTATTTCACTGCTATGATAACTTTGTTACTGCAAGAAGAAAAAAGTGACAGGAAGTCTGAAAGTGAGACAGAAATGCACTGGACCCTTAAGCCATCTGTGCAGTGACCCCAATGATGATGATGGTGACTTTGGGGATTATGTTTTTTACAGGCAGTTCTCAAGTTAAGAATAATTCCCAAATAGGGAACAGATGCCTACACACTGTCCTGTGCTCTCTGAGTCAGAATACCTGGGAAGAGGGCCTTCTTAAACTAAAGCGGTACAGAAATATCAGGAGAGCTGGGGTACTAGTCCCAGTGCTGCCACTAATTAGCTGTGTTACTTTGGTCAAATCACTCCCCCCTCTTTGGATTGTGGTATCCTCACTGTTAAATGAAAGGACTGGATTTAGGTAATCTCTAAGGCCCATTCTAGTCGCTGTCTATGAAAACTTTGAGAAACGTTTCATTAGCTTCTCTCACAAAACATGAAGAATTACTATGGTAATGGAGACAGGAATATCTAGCTGATCCTGCCCCTGACACCATCTCCCACCATCACTACCTGAAGCTGCCTTTGCCAATCACACTGCTGATGAGAAAGGAGGGTGGACATGTGTTTACATACCTTCTGAATTCATACTTTTACTCTTGTTCTCAGAGGTCCTCATTGAGTATGTGCTACGGCTGTTTATACCCACCATGCATCTCTCCACTGCCCTCTGTGTGACACTAATTTTTATTCTTCAGACAACTATATTCCATGTCTCACTACACATGGCAACACCAGTAGGATAACTGTATTTTTTCCCTTTAGAACAATCAAATAAAAGGCAGAGATAGATAACTGAAACAGCACTGTCACTGCTACACTTTAGGTATGTTATGTATATATATGTACATCTATATATCTACAGATACATATATATATGTGTGTATGTATTTTTCCCCACTGGGGCTGGCTTCAGAACGTAAGCAGCCAGTAGAAAGATGGCAAGTTGGCATGGAAAGAGAAGGAAGCGTGGGTGTCGGCAGCCCTGTGCTGCCGCTTTCTGACTGTCCATGTGACTTGGGCAAAGTCACTTCTTCTAGAAGATAGCCCCAGATGACTCTTCTAGCTCTAAATCCTGTCATGCATTTACAAACATTTTTATTTTTCTCTGGCAAAATGCACTGAATTGCAAATAACTGACTAAATGAACCTGCTCATCCTGTCCCACTCTTGTAAAAGTTGACTACATAAAACCATATTTAAATTTGAAAATAAACATGCCCTAAAAACCCTGTTCTCAAAATAAATGGCTTAAGAGCCCTGCAAATCTTGAAACAAGGAAACTACTATTGTTGTTATTATTGATACTGGGCAGCTAGGTGGAGCCATAGTGCACAGAGCGCTGGGCCTGGAGTCAGGAAGATGAGTCTTCCTGAGTTCAAATCTGGCCTCAGATACTTACTAGCTGTGTGACCCTGGGCAAGTGACTTCACCCTGTTTGCCTCAGTTTCTTCATTTGTCAAATGAGCTGGAGAAGGAAACAGCCAACTACTCTAGGCTCTTTGCCAGGAAAACCCCAAATGGAGTCACAAAGAGCAGGACACAACTGAACAACAACAAAATTACTGGTACCGATAAGCAGCTGCTGACTCACCTTTTTTTGCGCCAGTGAGGCTCGCTGCAGCTTCTCTTTGGCCTGGCTGTACTTCTCTTCTTTTTCTTTGATACGTTCATGAAATTTATGCTTTTCTTCCAACCATTCTACCCGCTTCTCTTCCAAAGAACTGTCAAAAATGAATTTGAAAATTTTTTTTTAAGAATTCATATTCCTGAACAACATAGGATTATATTGATCCTATATACTGATACCACATCATTACTAAGTTTCCCCACAGCATCACAGATCATGAAAGCTGGAGAGGATCTCAGGGAAGCATCTAGTCCCAATCTCTTTTTGACAGCTCAGCAAATGCTGGCCCTGAGAAATGCACAGAGCTGCTCAGGCCTCCTGTTTCCTAGGCCTGGGAGGAGGTAGAGTGGCATGAGGCGAGCGTGATAAACCTGGCAGTCGGAAAGACCTGGGTTCATATCCTGATTCTGACTCTGTAGCTATGGGACCATGGTCAAATCACCTGACCTCTCCAGGGTTTCCTCATCTGTAAATAGTCAACTGAAATCATAATTTCTCTCCAATAATGCAAATCACACCCCATCCTTGAGGACCCACAAGTTCACAGAGGAGGTCCACCCAACACACCATGGGTATTCCTTGGTTGTATCTGAAATCACGAGGCTGCCCAGGGCCCTTCCTGCTCCCTGCTGACTGTGCCCTCCCCCTCACCACACGACCAGTCCCCTTCTCTTTCCGTGAGATGGCCCACGCACGACGGCATCTTTCACTCTTCATCAGTGCATTCCCCTCGGGGCTCTGAGCTGTTTCCAAGCACACGCTCACGTACCCATCATGCACCTCTCCACTGCCCTGGGCTGATGCTTCTCGCACCTTCACGGAGTTGTACCTCGTAACTCATGACCACAGCAACAACTGCAGAAGGCTAGGATTAAAACCACGGGCCTCTGCTTTCATGGGAAGCTTGGGATCATTAAGCGAGCTCTGCAGTAAAGGCGATCCAGCCTGTTCTCTTCATACTGTTCAACTCGATGTCTGTATCACAAACACTCTCCACAGCCTCTACCTCACAAGGCTGCCGTGCAGCTCAAACGTGCATTGATGTCCCTTACTGTCACTGCCATCATCACTTCCACCACACGAAGCCATTCCTGGGCTCTTTGTCCACGGCAGCACATCTGTTCTCTCGATAAAGTGGCCCACGGTAATCTAACCCTGATGGGATGTATGAAACTGGTCACCCCCTCTGGAACTCCGCATCTTCACGGCAGGGCAGGGAGGACCGGAATGGATGGTTTCTACTTTCTCCCTCCAGAGTGCACACTGCCTTCGCTTGTCCATGCCCTCCTAAAAAGCTTCCACAGGGAGTCCACCCAACATCCTGGGACCTGTTTCTAGATCTTTCATGAAAAACGACAGGGAAGGCCAGCTATCCGTGGATTATCCCACTGACTCCCTAGACAGCTGACTCACTTTCTTTTCTCATCATGTATTTACTTCTCTGACAGCATCTTTCAGAGGCTGCTTCTCAGCCGTCATTTTTCAGAACCCAAGGCTGGCTTAGCTAGGGCAGGTTAGAGCAGCCTCCATTGGCCTCTACAGCTTCTCTGTCAGCATTGATGCTGATCTTTGTTTGAAGAGGTTCATGGCATGAATGTATGCTGGGATGCCTCGAAGTTACTTCTACAATGGCCTCTGGATATTTCCCATCTGCTAACATAGAATCAATCTCATTTTTGGTAACGTTTTCTAGTGTCCACCATGTCATGCCTTTTTATTAAAGAAAGCATTCAATGAACTGAGCAGAACCAAAAGAATAATTTGTACACTAATATCAATACTGTAAACACTATGGAATCACCTTTTGACCTCTGACACAATTCAAGTTGAAACATGCTCTCCACCTACAGATGGAGAGCTGCGGTACTCAGAGGGAAGCATAGTCCCCTCACTCACTCTCCCTCTCTTCCCCCCATTTTTACATCTATGTGCCTATGCATATACATACACACACACATACACATATACACCTCAATGTATATACAACGAATGCTAGGACTGCCGGGAACAGTGCTGTGCATCATTCGTAAGGAAGCTTCTGGCTGCACCTACCTTTCAACCTCTAGCTGAGCCTTTTCTGCTTGAGTCCGTGCATTCCGGCATTCGTGCTTCAGCTTCTCCACCATCTCCTTCAGCTTTTGGTTAGAATCCACCAACTCAGTCTCCGACTGTGTGAGGGAGGTAACTTGGATCTGTAAACTACTGATTTGCTTTAAAAGAAAAAGGGGGAGGAGAAACAGATGCTTTTTAAACAAAACTCTCAAAAATGTAAAACACAGAAAGCACCTGGATGCCCCGCCCCACCAAAGTACCCCCTCGCAGGTGCCATCAGTGCCTCGAGCCACAGCTCAGAGGCACCAATAGCAGTTTTCGTGGCCAGTATCTGCCTAGCACCCACTTCCTCCCAGTGAAGTGGGATGGCTGGGAAGAGAAAACAACATTTAACAATTACCATATTCTTGTAGCAAAATTACTCCTTGCCTCCTAAAAATATCAGGCCCTAAGTTCAGGTAAACAGAAAATCATTCACAGTAAAAGTAATGGGTAACAGAGATCCCACTAACAAATTAAACCCATATAACGCTCATACAATTTTAGCCAAACCCCTCTCCCCGCAAAGAACTTTCTCCTCTTGACTAGGGGCTATCGGATCAGCCAACTGGAAGGTGGGTTGCAGCCCACCCTCTTCAAAACCTCCAAGCTGTACCATTTTTACTCATACATCTTAGACATCCACTCCCTTCTGACTACTCACCTAGCCTCACTTCTCCTCTGCATTATTCCAACAGCCTCTTTCTGGATCCCCCTATTTCAACCTTCTTTCTTCTTCAACCTATCTTCTATGCAGCTGCCAAAGTGATTTTCCTGAAGTACAAATCTGCAAACACGTTCGCCCCTATTCTATCAACTCCAACAGCTACCTGCTGATTCCAGGATCCAATATAAACCACTGGTGGGCCCTTCACAACCTGACCCTAACCTACCTTTAATAGCCTAATTACACAGGATTCCCCCTTCCTGAATCCTGTGGACCAACCCAGGCCCTTACACTCAAACCAAGACTCAACTAAGACAGACAGACACAAATAGGAAAGTAAGGGATAACATGGGCACTCAGAACTCCATAAAGAGGAGCAGATCTGGACTGAACACTGCTGAGTGGTCATCAGAGGTAATTCAATTTCACTTACTATTTTGGTGAGTTATCTCTTTGGTGTGTGATGACTATCTATACAATGAGAAACAGGACCCCTAAAACTATCCCTAGAACGCTATGTTGCGTATCTTTCAACAAACTACCTCCCCCCCCCCCCAACCACCTTCTTCCCCGCCCCAGCAAAGAAAAAGAAATGACCTACTTGGCTACTTCTAACTGACCAAATTAACTAAATACGTATTATTTCTCAGTCCACTCTTTCTCCTAGGACATATATGAAGTTTCTTTCAAAATCATGGAGCATATTCAATTACATTAGTCCAAGAAATATTATTATTAATAAAAGCATTATATTTTTAGTGAGAGCAAAACGATTTTTATACTATTGATAACATTTTAAATGTTTTTTAAAACTCATCTTTACCTCCCCTCATTAAAATTTCTATTCTTTGTGCATCTCTTATAATCTATATGTTAGTATAGTAATAGGATAGGAACAGGATTATAACTGTGATCTCACTGCTATAGGGAGCTCCCAGGTGAGGAAATTCCCTCCACCAATGCAATTGGCTACTTTCTCTTCAACTTATAGTCTTACAGAGCAGCCTAGAGCAGTGAGGAGGTAAGTGACTTGTCCAGAGCCACAAAGCCTGTATGTGTTGGAAGCAGAATATGAAGTGCGAGCTTCCCTTCACAACCATGTCTCTGTCCTCTACACCCACTGCCTCTCTATACATGTATAATAGTATGTGTCTGTATATGCCCAGATAAATATAAATGTACACACACACACACACATAATTTATATATGTTGTTTGGTCATTTCAGTCAATTCTGATTCTGTGATCCCATATGAGCTTTTCTTGGCAAAGATACCAGAGTGGTTTGCCACTTACTTCTCCAGTTCATTTTACAGATGAGGAAACTGAGGCAAATAGGGTGAAGTGACTTGCCCAGGGTCACACAGCTAGTAAGTATCTGAGGTCAGATTTGAACTGACTCCAGGCGCAGCACTCTATCCACTGAGCTACCTACCTGCCCCTCAATTTATAAAAAGATATACATATATTAGGGGTATGCTCAATTTTTTTTTCTGATGGGGTACACAATCAAAATATTTTGGAAAGCATTGCTATAGACTTGTAGTTGTATGTATAACAAAAAAACAAATAATGCAGGTGTGTGCATACTTAGCAAACAAATGTCCACAGAACACACGAAATGGTCTCTGCTCTCTCCCCTCTCATGGAATGAAGAACTACATAGCTTTCTTTAGCCACAGTTGCAAATATCATTCTGCATGACAGCTAGATGAACTGGCAGTTTTAAAACACCCTCATGAGCCACCGGCTGATAAGGCTAAAAGCAACCAATACCAGTCAACTCCTCCACAACCACTCAATTATGATTCAGAAACTAACTGCATTGGAATGCAATGTGGCCAAGCATCCACATGACGTACTATGCAGGATCCCCAAAAGGAGTTGCTCTTCCCTTTCACTTTCAAGCAGCGTAAGATCTCATACGAATCTCTTGTTTTCTGTCTGAAATTTTTAATGATAAAATTAACATTTCTGAAGATACCATATTGCCTTAGCTCTTGAGGGTACAAGAAGAAATAATAAAACAAAAAACAAAACAAAACTAGAGTTGCCTGTGACTCACCTGCAGTAACTTAACATCCTATGCAATCTGGAGCTGTGGTTTGGAACGAGACAGTACTTGATTACAGATCAGTAGATAAGTTATCTTAAGAAAATACCAGAGGGCAACAGCAACTTCCTAAACTAAAGCTGAAACTTTAGAAATCAAACTCACCGGCGTATCAACAACTACAGGGATGGGGTTTTTACAATGCTGACATCTTAAATCTAAAGATGCTCCACCCCACTGAGGCAGGTGACTGTCTTTTGCCTCTTTTTGTATCCACAGCCCTCAGTGCAGTGTGGGGCACATAGCAGGTGATTAATAAATGCTTACTGACTTAGCTGAGATTGTCTGAATCCTGGAGATCTTTAAACAAGCAATTAAAATGTTAACCAACACCTATAGGCTCTTACCTGTTTAAGATCAGCATTTTCAGTTTTTTCTTTTTCTACGTTCTCATTAGCAATCATCTGCTGCTGAAGCTTCATTCTAAACATTTGACAATGCGACAAAGAACGTTATTAAGAACTGACGGTACGATGAATTAACAATTTATAGTCCAATGGTAAGTTGTTAGTAAAGTCGGATATTGAAAGGTCATTCCATCTTTATGGAAAGACCATCCTGCTCAGTCACTGCACTGTACCCTACATGCCCTGGGAGGCACTACCACATGTAACCTCAGTTCTCGAGGTGCAGGCTGACACAAAAGTGGGAAGGAGCACCTTAGATATTCTGATCAAAACGTCAGCTGTCACGAGGAAGAGGAAAGTGGGGATCCCGCATGGGCGCACATATACAAGTCTCTCTATAGACAGAATGGTTAGCCTAGGGAGCAGAGTTTTACTGTTTAAATGGCTCTGTCTCTTTCCTCCTCCAACTCACAGCATTTATTTTCTACACCACTCACTGGGCCATTTGCTGCTATGAGAGAGTGAGGCATTGTGAATAGCCCTGTACTTACAACCAGGAAGATGTGGGTTCAAATCATGCCTCCAGCACTTGCTAAATCTGACCCTGGGAAATTCATTTAACCTCTGAAAATTCCCTAAAATTTATCTCCTGAGCCACAGCTGTGGTCAGTTGTGGTGGTAATAGAGTGAAATAACTTGGGGATGAAATAAGCACCCAGAGTCTGAAGGATCCCTCTTTCAGGGGAGTCTCGATAAGGAGCAAAACAGCCTAGGCTGTTCAGTGTGAAGGTGAAGAGCTGGCTAAAAATAGGGGGACAGGATATAAGGAGAGAAAGAGAAGGATAAACAAGAAGAAATAGGATGAAGGGAAATACAGAGTCATCATAACTGTAAAAAAAAATTATGGCATGTTTCTCTAATAAAGGCCCATCTCTCAAATATATTGAAAGCCGAGTCAAATTCATAAGACTACAAGACATTCCCCAATTGATAAGGACATGAACAGGAAGTTTTCAGAAGAAATCAAAGCTATCTATAGTGATATGAAAAAACGCTCTAAATCACCACTATTGATTAGAGAAATGCGAACTGAAACAACTCTGAGGTACCACCTCACACCTATCAGACTGGCTAATATGACAGAAAAGGAAAATGATAAATGTTGGAGGGGACGTGGGAAAATTGGGACACTAATGCATTGTTAGTAGAGTTGTGAAGCAATCCCACCATTCTGGAGAGCAATTTGGAACTATGCCCAAAGAGCTTATAAAACATACATACCCTTTGACCCAGCAATATCACTACTAGGTCTGTATCCCAAAGAGAGCAAAGAAAAAGGAAAAGAACCGATATGTACAAAAATATTTATAGCAGCTCTTAGTGGTGGCAAAGAACTGGAAATTGAGGGGATGTCCATCAATTTGGGAACAGCCAAACAAACTGTGGTATATGATTATGATGGAATACTATTGTGCTATAAGACATGCTGAGCAGGATGGTTTCAGAAACACCTGGGAAGACTTATATGAATTGAGACAAAGTGAAGTGAACAGAACCAGGAGAACACTGTGCACAGTAATGGAAATATTTTATAACGATCATCTGTGAACAACTTGGCTGTTCTTAGCAATACAAAGATTCAAGACACTGAATGGACTTATAAAAAATGCCATCCACCTCCAGAGAGAAAACTGATGGGACTCAGAATACAAATCAAAGCATACTTTTTTAGACTCTATTTCCTTTTTTTTTCTGGTCTGTGTTTTCTTTCACAATATGACTACTATGGAAATATGTTTTACATGACTGCATATGTATAACCTATATCAAAATGCTTGCCTTCTCAAGGAGGGGAGCGAGAGAATTTCAACTCAAAATTTTAAAGAACAAATGTTAAAAATTATTTTTACATGTAATTGGAAAAAAAGAATTAAGTTACCAATTATCCAAGATAAAGACCTCATCTCAAACCTCAACCTTCTTGACCTCTCACTAGCATGTCATACTGCTGACCACCCCCTCCTCCTAAATAATCTCTTGGAGTTTTCCTAATTCCACTTTCTCTTCATTCTCCTCCAACCTGTGTCATCGATCCTTCTGAATCTCTCTTGTTGGACCTTCATCCAGGTTACACCCACTGACCATAGGTGCCCTCCCCCAAGGCTCTACTCTGGCCCAGAGGAATTCAATTATCATCTCTATGAGTCCCGGGTTTCTTTGGCCCTCTGAGTCCCCTCCTGAGTTCCATTTTGGAATTCCCAGCTGCCTGTTGGGTATTTCAGACTGGGTTTCCTGTAGGCACCCCAAAACAGAACTTCTTGTATTTTGGCTATGATGTCCTTGGGAGTTTTCATTTTAGGACTGATTTCAGGAAGTAACTGGTAGATTCTTTCCATTTGCTCTTTGTCCTTTGATTCTGATAAATCTAAACAGTTTTCTTTCATCATTTCTTAAATCTAAATCTTTCTTTTTGGTCATGGCCATCTTATAGTTCAGTAAATCTTAAATTACCGCTCCTTGATCTGTTTTTAGGTCAGTTGCTTTTGATAGCATTTACATGATAATATTTATAATATTACATCATTAAATGGTGGTTATCTACATTTGCTTCTATTTTTTCAGTCTTCTGACTTTGTTTTTAATATTTCTTATTTTCTCATGGACTCTCACTTTCAATCTGTCCTTCAAACCTGTCACTACTTTCCCAATAATTTTCTCTAGCGCTCATTTCATTTATTTCACTTCGTTTTAAACTCTTTTAAAAACTCTTGCTTTATTTCTTCTGGGAATTCTAATGACTTGGTGGCTAAGCTATGTTCTTTAAGGCTTTGCCTGTACATTGCAGAACTGTTTTCCTCTTCTGGGTATGTGTACATGTCTTGGACATCCCTAGATCCATAGCAGCTTTTTGTCATGGAAATCTTTTGTTGCTGTTGACTCCTTCCTCCAGTTTTACTTCTCAAACTGGGGCTTTATGGTCAGGCCACAGTCTGTGCACTTCTAGCAGGAATGCAATCCAGGGCCTCAGTTAGTCCTGATGTGTATTTCTCTGGGGATCTTGCAATGTGTTTTCCGGGTAACAACTGCCATATTCATCAAGGACAGTTTAAGTAAAAACCAGGAGAACTTCCAGTGGGCTCTAAGCAGTCTGATCTTGAGCAAGGACTGATCACTGCCCTCTTAGATGAGCTTTCCAGATTATAGGTCCTGCATATAGATCCCCTGCAACACAACTACAGACTTGCCTCTGGGTGAAACTCCATCAGATATTGATCTCTACCTTTCTCAGTTAGCCAGAAGGCTCCACATGGTCAGAGCAATAGAGCTATAGGCCAACTGCTGGAACCACAGCCACTAGCCTTGGTGACTTACCCCAGGGATGTGTCACAATGTCAGAGATGTGTCAGTGGGCTGAAGCCAAAATCCATCTTTAGGGTCAGACTGACCCGTCCTTCTTCCACAAATCTTGCCATGGTCACTTGCCTATGGGCTAAAGTTGTGATCTTGGGATGGATAAATGACCAACTATGGTTTCTCATAGATTTCCCAAACACTACTCAATCTGGCATCCTTCTTAGATTTTTGTTGGAGTAAACGTGAAGAGAGCTGGGCTATGCTACTTTCTCCTACTCCATCATCCCCTTTCCCCCTAAACCCTTCAGCCTTCTGAAATTCCCTATTACTGCCAAGGACAAGTACCCTTTCGACTGCCAAGTTCACTATTTCAGCGTTATCCTTAGCTGCTCTCTCTCCCCCTTATCTATCCCACATATACTATCCATTGCCAACTCTTGCAATTTCTTTCCCTACAACATCTCTCATATGTATTCTCTTTCTGTCTACTTCTAGTCACCATCCTAGCTCAGGTCCTTATTACCTCCCCCTAAGACTACTGCAATCACCTTCTAATTGTTCTCCCTCGCCTCCCTGCCCTTCCACCACTCCAATCCATTTATTATTTATCTACCCTGCTGCCAAAGAGATTTTCCTAATGAATGGGTCTAGTCATTTCACCGCCCCCCAACCCTGTTCAAAGAGCTCCAGTGGGCCCCTGTTACCTCCAGGATCTGACTGACATGTGAAGCTTCCCACGACCTGGCTCCTTACTACCATCCCTTTCCAATCTTCTTGCATTCTATTCCTCTCCACATACTCTGTGATCCAGTCATACACTCATAATACTTGCTGCTCCTGGAACATGACACTCCCGTTTCTTGACTGTACCTCTGAACTGTTTGTCATGCCTACAATGCTCTCCTTCCTGCTCTCAGAATCTTAGAATCCCTGGTTTCCATCAAGACCAGCTTAAGAACTCCCTCCCCCAGAAGACTATTTGAGCTACTAGGGCCAAGCCCTCCAAGGTGATCTTTCAATTGCTTTAAATGAATCTTGCATGTTTTTCTTTATAGACTAGCTAACACATATTTGGTACTTTAAAAGTTTTCAAAGTATTTTATGTCTATTATTTTATTTGATCCTCACAACAACCCTATGAGGTAGATGCCATTATTTCAACACCACTTTATAAATGAGGAAACTGAAAAAGAATTGGAAGATGTAGTTGACCTTATGAATCACAAATGTATTATTATGAAAAAAGTTGGGGCAGCTAGGTGGTGCAGTGGATAGAGCACTGGCCCTGGATTCATGAGGACCTGAGTTCAAATCCGGCTTCAGACACATAACACTTACTAGCTGTGTGACCCTGGGCAAGTCACTTAACCCCATTACCTAGCCCCAAAAAATCACAAACAAACAAAAAAAAGTCAACACAATACTAGGACATATTAAAAGGCAATATACTTAGGGGCAAAAAAAAAAATACAAAAACAGAAGGGGAAGACTGACTAAAGTGTAAGTATGGTGAAGCTTCATTAACGCAGTCTAAAATGTTTTAGAGAAACTTGTTTTATTACTGTTAAGAACATGCAGGACTTGAAACTAGCCAAGAAGAGCAAGCCACTGAGATCCTGCTTTAATGAAGTGATAAGAATGATTTGTAATTAACAAACCAAAGCAAAAGCCCAAGCAACTTCTATTTATCTAATAATTATAGTGCCCACACATAAGCTCTCATTTTTTTCACTTCTATCCCTAAGCACACAAAGAAGTTTAATAAATACTTGATGATTGATTGATAAATGCATCTTTCTATGGTTACATAAAAATTGTTTATTTCCTTCAGCTGGAAACAAATTCTTTTATATTATTCAAGAATTTAATAATCTTTTTTTCCACTATACTTCCAGCTAGCCCCTTCTAAATCATCACATATTCTACATCAGTGATATCTGAATTATGTTTCTGTGTTATTTGTTCTTAACCACAGTCAAACAAAATTTAAAAAAAAACAACAGATGCGGCTAACCTGCTGAGTCTGAAACGCAGCATAGTTTATTAAAAAAAAGTCAAATCAGTATTGAGACACATTAGATACGCTAAGATAGACACATGCAAAAAACCTGGAGAATAATTCCTGCACTGTACTTAATATATGTCAAATCCTTTAAAGGAGGTAGAGAAATAGAAAGGGATGTAAAATCGTGACCAAAATGATTAATATAAAGCAAAGTTAAAAGGGGACTATTTTGCTTAGGAAAGAGAAAACTAAGGGTCAAGTTCATTACTGTATGAGTAAATAAGTGTTTGCGAATGCTAGGCAGTAATTCTCCATGTAGACATGTAAGACAGTAAGAGTAGAGTAAGTGGAAGATTAAATTGCAGCAGAAAAGAGTCTAAGTGCACAAGGGAATGACTTTTTAAACAACTGAGCAATGAAACACTGAAGCAGGCTCCATAAAGGTATATATATACTCACTTCCTGGAGATTTTCAAAAAGACAATATACAATCATGTGGCTGGCCTGATTTTGACACTGACACTCCTCCAAGCAGGGGGCTACCCTAAAGAACATCTCCAGGTTCCTTCTAGAATTATCATTCTAGACTCATTGACTTAACATGAAGAGTTAATCTTCCTAATCAAGAACCCCACTTCCAAAAGTCTATTACACTCTTTTCATGTAATGAATGTGGTACCTCAAAAGAGGGTTATGTGGCTTGAACATGCCCAGTTAGAACAGTCACTAGAGCTTTAGAATAAAGAAGATATATGGACACAGATGTAACCTAATACTCTGCAGCTCCCTCTTGGCTGACTCTTCTGCCATCTGTGAAGCCCGCACTTTCTCTTCATACTGATCCTTTTCAGATTGTCTCCAGACATCTTGTTCCACTTTAATTTTCTCTAAATCTGCTAATTTGTTCTCAAGTTCTAGCCTGAAATGACAGACGATAATTATGTTAAAAGAACCACAATAAGGATAAGACGGCAACAAAATGTTTTCATTTACGAGGAGATTTAAAACAAAACAAGGTATTTAAGCCCTTACTTTTCATCTTGCAAGGCTGCTAGTTTTTGGTAACCTTCTTCTTTGGCAGCTTGTACTTTCCGTACTAATTCACGGTCCTTTTCTAATAAAAGCGTTTTGTGGCGTTCAATAGTTGACTTGAGGATTTCATTGTCTGACTGCAGTCCTGGTTGGTTGGTTTTTAAAGAAGGAAAAAAAGAATAGTCTTCATCATTACCATTAACTTAAAAATTGGGTTTAACAGGCATTCACAGACGCTGGTTAAAAAAAAAATTAAAAATACAACTTTTCAAACTAACAGTGAATAACTGTCCCTCTGAACATATAATTTCAATTTCAGTAAGTTCTTTAAAGTATCAATAAATTCTCCTTAACATAAGAAAACTCAAGGAGAACAAATCTTAAGAGTTAATCTGTGTCAACTGTTAAAACCAAAAATACTGACATATCTTTCACCTTCATCTTCAAAGTCCCATTCAGGGAGTTTTCATTATGAAAAGGGCTTTGTTATAAATTAATTTCACATATAAAGAAGACCCTAAGTGCGGAATTATTGTAAGACAAAGAATAAGGGGTAAATTTTCATTAGGTTTAATAAAAAAGACCCATTTCTTGCCTAATGACTCTATGAAGAGAAGGAAAAAAAAATTTACATTGGCTCTTAGAATTTCCCAATGCTTTTCCAAACAGACTTACTCTAATACTTATCTTTAGTTTTCCTAAAAGGACAAATATTCTATTTCATAAATGGAAAAACAAAGGTACATTAATATCTAACTCAACGTCACAAAAGTCAACACACAGAACAGAGAAAAAACCCTGAGAAAACTTAACCAATACTCATGGTTCAATATTAACTAGAGACATACAACAAAAACTATGCACCCAAGCCAGTTCAATTAAATGATTCATGATGGTTGTACCCAAATAATTCACAAGCAACACTTTCAACAAGGTCTAAAGCCCCCTGAGGAGACTGACATGGTCCTCAGCCTAAAATGGGAGATCCACCTCTAGTCAAATGTAGCATCCAAGATAAAACGGACTCCAAGAACTGCCACAGCTTTGCTCTGAAACATGGAAGCCTCAGACCAGCAATGACCTGGTGCCAAACCAGCCTCCTAAAGGATCAGGAGAGCGCTAGTAAAAGTAAAGCATGAACAGCACACTTTTCATTTTGCCCTGCAGTACTAATGCTTTCTTAAGTGTGGACAATCAACAATACAATAAATTCATCTCTGGTTTATAGCTTTGGCCAATTTTCAAGGTAAAAATGCTCCCACTGAAAATTTAACAATCAAACTATTCCAAGCTGGCTCCTTCACAACCTGGAGGACAATCAAGCCCACAGCAATCTCACCACACGCAGACTGCCAGGGATGTTGACTTTAGGGGAAGGAAAAAAAACTCATGGAGGTAGATCCCTTTATTTGGTAGATGCCATATATATATGTATCTATACATATCTCTATCTATCTATCTATCTACACACATACATTCATGGAGATAGATCCCTTTATTTGGTAGATGCCATATAAATATGATATATATATATATATATATATGTATGTGTGTGTGTATAAATATATATATATGTATATATATATATATTTATACACACACACACACACACATATACATCATATTTATCAATAAAACAATGGGGCTAAGGAGTATCTCATTTACTATGAGGTGGAGAGCAATTCAGGAGCACTTAAAAGTCCAATCATGGTTCTCAAGTATCAAGTCCAATCTTTGCATGAAAAATGAAGGAGATCATGGAATAGTGAGGACAGAAAAAAATAAGTCATATGACCATAACCTCAAAATAAGTTTAAGACAATAAAACCTAAAAGGTATAGAACCTAATTGGAAACATTCATAACCAAACCATCTAGATATTATAATTTAGTACAAAAACCAACATTCATACAAAGTGTCATGAAACTGGATGTTGGTACAAATAAAAATAAAGTAACAATTTGAATACCCTAGATCTATCAGTGGAGGTATAAAACAATCAAGCTGGAAACTTGATTTAGCATGTGTAAATAAAGGAAATACTTACCATCCACTTGACTTTGAATCTTGTTCCTTTCTCTTTCTATTTCACTCTTAGTTCTGGCTGCCTCCAGTTTGATATCTGCTATTTCTAATTTGTTTGAATGTTTAAGTTCTTCAACCTGTTGGTAATTTGAAAGTAAAATTATTAGTCATTTTCTTATTAATGAGAGCACACACACATACTGTCACACAGCTTTTGATAAGACTATGCTCTGGCTAACAGCAACCTACTACATTTATCTCCCTGGTAGAGCTTCACTCAGCAATCCCATGTTAGGAAGTCACTTAAGTGAATTCACCCAGTTCATAAGATCCAAGAATCTGTCATTTAAATCTATATCATTTTAAAGCTCAAGAGAATCCAAAACACTTTCTCACCAAACAAAGCCATGGCCTGATGATACTCATTGTGAAATATTTCTTTCTAGTCTAAATCTCTCCAGGTTAAATACTTAAACATTATGTGTACTATTGTATCAACATTCTCTGTATAATGAATATGTAATAATGAAGTTCATTATTGAGTCATTCCTGAATCATCTTTTTTCTACACTAAACAATTTTGATTAGCAGATTCCATATTTTTTAGTTCTTTAATCTTCTTTACTCTTCTAAGTATTTCACCTGTTTCTTACACGACGACTCTCAGTTAAATCAGTAATGTATAGGTAATATTATCTTAGCTTTACATAGTACAATATGTGCGTGTGCATGCGCGCACACAAATTTATATATTATCATCTGATTCTCAAAATAGCTTGATAGGGTAGCCTAAGCATTTTTTTTTACTGGCAAAGGAGTTTATTAAATTTTTAAACAGCTCTAATTATTGGGAAGTTCTTCCATTTTATACTGATCAAAATCTATAATCCTTACCTTTCAATGAATGGTCTTAGTTTTGCCATTTGTATTCACATAAAATGCTTTCAAATATTTCAAAATAACAACCATATCTTTAAAATATAGTGGACAGAGCTGGACAGATTAGTTTAGTAGATATCTGAACATTCTCAAGTACAGCGAAACTATTACCTGCTATGATTTGGATACTCAATAAAGATTGCATTAACTTTTTAAAAACTTTTTTATAAATCTATTTATTGATTTATTTTAGTTTTCAACATTTATTTTTACAAAATTTTGAGTTCCAGATTTTCTTCTCCTTCCCTCTCTCCACCTTCCCCAAAACGGCAAGCATTCTGATATAGGCTATACACGAACAATCATATTAAACATATTTCCACATTATTCATGTTGTGAAAGAATCAGAACAAAAGGGAAAAACCACAAGAAAGAAAAAACAAACCAAAAAAAGTATGATTACCCCCATTTTATACATGAGAGGCTCCTGTTCAATGAGGACTTAATGTCACAAAGCTAGTATGTGATGAAGCAAGAACTTTAACCTAATCCTTCCAAGTCCAGTGTTCTCTCTATTAAACTACCATCCCAAGTAAGTTCTCAAATATTCAATAAGGGTTATAAGCCTCAGATTCTGTGCCTCCAATTAAGTCCCTTAAATATGTGAAATGTGAAAGGTACAGGGTAGGAGAACACTAAGTAGACTTTATCTTTAGAAGCCAAACTCACCTTTCTGAGAGCAAGTGGGGACCTATAAGCCAATGAAAAGAGTCTTAAAGACAAGGACGGACAGAACTAGATTTAGTAGAACCTCACTGGAGAAAAGGGATGTCTGCCATTAAAGATTCCTGGCTGCTCCAACAAGGAAAGTTAAACATAATGGTGGCTTAAAAGAAATAAGGGAAAAGGCAGAGGAATCAGTGAGTCACTGTGATTATTTCCAAAAGCTGGCAGGGATAATTATCGCCAAATGAACTGGTACACTTAAAAACAGCATTAAACCTTGTGCTTTAAGAATAAAAAAGCAGCTCAATGACATTCATGCTAACGTCCAGCAAAGACAGCTGCCCAAACAGAGGCAGGCTACCCAGATCTTCTACAACTACTCTGGCAAAAATCTGAAATCTGCACCAAGCAAAATGATCAAGAAATCCAAGGAGAAACTAGAAAAACTTCTTCCAACCCTGAAATACACAAAAATTAGCTAAGTACATGGACAAGAAAGAGGGCCACTGCAAAACCAGTGCCTACACAGGCAAATGAGCCCGCTGCAACCCAGCATGACTGTAGACAGGCCAGAGACATGTGCAGTTTGTATGATTCTGTGTCCAGAGGCAGCAACCCCCATGTCTCCTCTAAAGGAGGTGAAAAAGCCACAAGTCAATGTGATTTGTCCATCTTTTCACATGAGAAATCTGTGGCCTGTGGACTTCCTAGCCTTTCTCCTTTCTTGAGCTATATGCCTTCTAATGTTTCCTCTCCCCAACAGCATGCAGGTGGATTAGAACAATTCAGTTATTCATTCTAGCTTCTTCTGTCCACTGACAGCACGAAGAGTTGACTTGTTTCACGGGGATTTTAAAGGGGCACTGATCACTTTACATCTAAATGAGTTATTGAAAATTACTGCACAAAATAAATTGAGCAGTACAGGGACAGAACAGTTCTGATCCCTGAGGCTATATCTGAATGCTTTTATAGAAGAAAAATATATTAAGAAGTTAAGATTTTAAATATTTCAAAAAACATTGTTCACAGTTTTCTTTACAACTTGAAGTTGTCGACATTTTCCAATTTTAACAAATGGCTGTTTGTGATGCAAAGGAACACCTGGGTGTGTTTGATATCTAAGTCAATGAATTCTGGGTAAACATTTGTTGGATTTTAAAATAGATCTTCTATCCTTGTGACTAGAAATAGTTTATCAAATGCGATCCCAAAACTCAAATGCGATTCCCTATAGAGGAAAACATTGAGTTCTCAGTCACAGTGCCTGAGTGGGAATAACCGATACTTTTTAAAGGAAGTGCACTTTGAACTTGGTGTACATGCACATATTGACATACGTTGTATCACTTCATCCTTTCTGTAGCCAAACAAGCACTGATTGTGCAGGATGACTCGCTGGGCCTGAGAGTCTAGAAAGAGTCCCCTCCTTGCGACGCTCATTCTGGATCACAAGGAGGTTGAACTCCCCACATTCATGGACTCACTAGCCAAGCGACCTAAGAATTACGGCCATCACGTGAATTGGAGTGACCAGAATCATACACTTCTGAATTCTTGGGTAATTATTTTTTAGCTATTCTTGACATTCATTTCCTATACATGTGTATTCTGTTGAGTTTATACTATACTTCAGGCCTGCAGGCACACCAAAGGATTTCGAGTGGCCTGTGAAGAACGTAGAGGATATCTTCCTCTACGTTTTTTGAAGACCACCCAAAATCCTTTGGCAGGCCACAAGCTGCAGGCTGTGGAGGCCTGCTATATAAACCCTATGGAAAAAGTCTTGTATTCTGCCATTCTTGAAGTTCAAAAAAGTTTATCCGTATTACTTAAATCTCTTAAGATTTCAACCCTCTCATCTTGTGCTCCTTCCTCTCTTTGGGCCCCACCTCCCTCTTCAGAAGAACATAATGAAAGAGAAAGAATCTGCTGAACACTAATTTCTTGTTAACTGAAGAACTGTTTCCACTCCATTGCCACACTTATGTTCCCCATGCCCTTCCCCCAATCACAGGTTTTAACTCTTTTTTTAATGTAAAAACTCCCTTTTACATTCTATCCTTTGACATGGGAATTTGTTTTGCTCCCATGCATTTACAAAAAGGAAGTGAAGATCACTAGGATACCACACAGCTTGTTTTCATCAAGAAGAGGTCAGTAAATGAACATCACTCCTTTTTCTGATGGCATTACTATACTGACAGATCAGGGAGAAGCCATAGAGGACGTCATCGATGCATCTGACAGAATTTTTCATTCTGTCCTTTGTACAAAATGAAGATATGTGGCCTAGAAGATAGTGTAACTGAGTATATCCAAAACTATTTGAATAACTGGACTCAAAGAACATTCATTAACAAACAAATCAACAGAAAATTACCTCTGCTAGAATATAAAGGAGAACTGCATTTAGTCAAGCGATATTCAATACATTTATCAGTGACTTGAAAGAAGGCCAAGATGACATACTTAACCAATTTGAAGATTATATCGAGCTGGGAGAGATTGCTAACATTTTAGGTGATATGGTCAAGATAACATTTTGGATGATAGGTTCAAGATACAAAAAGACCTCAAAAGGCATCTATAAAGATAAAATTTACTGTGAATAAAGGTGAAGTCCTATACTTAGGTACATGACTGGGGGGCAGGAGGGAATAGCCAACAGTTCCTCAGCAAGCTGTAGGTAACAAAACTGTATGTAACTGAAATTCATGGCTTCATATATAATCTTCTTTGTGTCTTACTCTGTACATGGAAATTCTCATTTATTTGGTGTTTGTTAAGTCTAGAATAAAAAACAAACAGTACATGTAAAACAAGAGCTAAAAATTTTAATGGAGTGCAAATTCAATGACTCAGTAGTGTAATAATGGCAAACCAAAATTGCTAATACTGTTTTAGGATGTATTAGAGAGATAGAGAATAAAAAACAAGGTAGGTAACAGTCCTGCTGCATTCTCACTGAAATCCAGCATTTTTTCCCCGGTACCACATATGCCCTGGATATCGTACAGAGGATTTTTGTTCATGCATAGACCTTCTAATTCTGTAATTCTATACTTTTATCATTACATTCCCAATTTCCATTTATTATTTCAAGTTTCAGTTATGTATGTCTTTGCACTATTTACATTATTCGCCTATTTGTTGGGAGAAGACATTTTAAGGAGAAAAAAGACTCACAGAAAGATACATATTTTTTTTTGTTTTTATATCTCAAAGCATATTTTACAAATAAGGAGAAAACTTTTGTTTGAAAATTGCTCACAAGGCACTTAAGCCATTATATCATTTGAAAGAATAAAAATACATGCAGAGAATGGAGAATGTAGTTGGAGCTTGCTTACCACACAGTCTACACCGTTCTATTTACAAAGATCACTTTCCTATTCTACAGCAGCGAAAGAATTTTTACTGCATTTGCAACTTCACAGAACGATTCAAAGACAGCTGAATGACTTTTTCTTCAGTCTGAAAACAGTCTTCTTAAAGTATATTTTAGAACGAACAAGAGTTCTTACTTTGCTGGTCCATGCAGTGATCTCTCTTTCAGCCTTGTGCAGTTTACTAATTAAGAGGGTGTTTTGCTCATTAGTTGATTGTAGTTCTTTCTCCACTCGATCATACTGAAGCTTGGCTGACTGTTTTTCTGCCTTTAGTTAAAACACAAGGTTATTTTAAGGTTTAATCTTTATTCCTTTTCCATAACTGATCTGAAATACAACAAATCCAAGTGAAGAATGTGTGTTGGTATAACACAAACAAATACCAAAATGCAGAAGTAACAAATATATCAAAATTTCAAAAGCTTTTTTCATGCAAATATATACATTCGCACATAGCTATGTATGTAAATAACAGAAATCCAGAGATAAAGCTTCCTTACTGTACTAAAATAGTATCATATCTGTCCAACCATTCAAAACACAGCCAATAACTAGTACATATTGGAAGAGATCCATGAGTAATCAAAATAAATATTTCCAAGACCAACAGTCCTTAGGTCGTCACTCAGACACTTTACTTTCAATAGTTTTATAAAAAATCCTAACAAATTTTGTTATTTGGTTTGGAACTCCACAGCAGACTAGAAGCAGCAAGTCAGAAAGGTGGCAGGGAGAGAAGGAACAAGAAGCAGGAGCTGAAATCCTGAAATAAGGGGAATGTATAAAAAGCAGACAAAAAGCAAAGCAGCCTGGGGTTTGTTTTTTGCTTTTGTCTGTCTTTGTTTTTTTAGCATAAGAGCAAAGAGACTTACATACCTCCAGAGTAACTGAGGACAGTTTCTCACAATTGGCTGTCTCCTATCCCAGGAATAACTCCTGTTTCTAGTTTTACAGTTTACAAAGCAATGTACCCAGAACAACCCCATAAGGAGGCAGTTTAATCACCACCCACTTCACAGTTATGGAAACTGAGCCTCAGAAGAGGTAAGGGACCCCTCAATTGCCTGGTTCTAGAATGTACCTTTGACTCCAAGTCCTGTGCTCGTTTCATCAAAATGAAAAATAAAAAGAATACTCTTATTTATCAAGAAATGGCTTGGTTGTTGGGAAGTCCAACAGAACTGGAGCTGAAAGTGTACTTCAGAGATGACCTAGTTCAATTCTCTCATTTTAGAGATGAGAGGGAAAAGGTCCAGAGACGGTGAGAGCAGATGAGACAGAACTGGAACCCTTAATGTTTTGTATGTTCTGTTTAAGGCAGTAACATGTGTTTTAGAAACACTTTCACACATGACTGTTAAGTAAAAAAAAAACTGGGGTGCTATAAAGGGTAAACTTCATTCAGATACAGTGAAAATTCCTTAATGGTAGCTAATAAATGTTTCAAATGGTATCTAATGAAATGTTTCCAGGCAATTAAAATTATCAAGTGGTAAAGTATATATCCAACAAACAAATTCAAATTACAAAGCAATTTCACCCAATGGCACCCTTGTTCACATCTGTAGCTAAGAAAAAACAGGAGGAGGAAGGAGGCTTGGGAGGAAAGGCTGCTTCTCTGATCATGTTCCAAAGGAAGGACCATGACTCCTGTTTTGTATCTTCCTCTACTTAGCACCTGGTCTACAGTAGCTGCCTAAGTAATATACTGTTGAACGGGTTGCTAACTTCCATTGAATGGCCCACTTAAGCACTGGCATGAATTATGTTCTCTCTTGAGCCTTTCATCTACCTTGACCCTCTGGGTCCTCCATCACCACTTCAGTGAACAGCCTCCCACTGGAAACTCAAATGATATCCATGCGTAAACTCCACTGCTACAGACTAAGGCCTACTAAAGGCCAAGCAGCAACAATGGGCATGAATGAAACTGGCCATTCCTCAGGGATCGGAAAGTCTTTTGATGCCAGATTGCAATGAGAATGGATATATGGGGATAAATTCGAGTCAACTCATTAGGAGAACAATTTTTACAATAACAATATGGTAAACATGAACAATTTGGAAAAATTAAGAACTCTGACCTAGGTAACGACCACCCATGATTTCAAAGGACTGATGATGGAGCAAGGTACCTACCCATATTCTGACAGAGCAGTGAGAGACTCACAGACTGCAGGACACACACAATTTTTAGACACTGCCAGTGTGTGGCTTTGTTTTGCTTGACTAATAATATGTTTTAAGAGTTTTGTTTTGATTTTTTTCCCCCAGGTGTAAAGGGCATTGGGAGGGAGATGAGACTATTAAGAGAAAAAGTAAAATTTTAAAAATCAAGTATTTTAAATAAAGTTATTTCATTTAAATCAAGTATTTTATTGAAACATATATTTAGCACCTTGACATGCAAGGTATCATCCCCACATCATGGGGGGATACAACATATACAGAAATAGATATGTTACAAGTAAAACTGAGGAAAGAGACCTCATGCTAACAATCTGAGCTGATTCTTGAAAGAAGCAAAGGATTCTAACGCAGAGATGAAGAGTTAATGTGTTCTAGGCATGGGGAATGACCTACATAAAAACATGGAGGTGGGAGGCAGAAGGTCAAATTTTGAAAATAGCTATTAGGAGGGGCAGCTAGGTGGTGCCGTGGATAGAGTTCTGGCCTTGGAGTCAGGAGGACCTGAATTCAAATCTGACCTCAGATATTTGACACTTACTAGCTGTGTGACCCTGGGCAAGTAATATAACCCCCATTGCCTCAACAACAACAACAACCAAAAAAAGGAAAAAAAAGGAAAAGAAAGAAAATAGCTACTTGGAGTCCAATTTGACTGGTACATTGAGTTTGTGAAAGAGAATAGTGTGAAATGAGGGTGGAAAGTTAGATGGTAGCCAAGTGGTACACAGCCTGGCTGAGAAGCTTTTATGTTTTCTTAACAGGGTTAAAAAATCATGCACAGTCTCTGAGCTGACATGATCTAACCTATCCTTTAGGAAGATGATGAAACATGGAAGAGTAGAGAGAAGAAAAAAAGGGAAACTGTACAGAATGAACTCACATACAGATCTTGAGGGGAGTGAGAACTTCAGCAGGTTCTTCTAGATCTCCAATGGCCAAACATTCATGAGCAAGACAGATAGATACTGTGCTCTTACCAGTCTGCTGGCAAAGCAGCCCCAAATTTAAAACTTCTATAGGACTGAGTCTGGTGCCTACAAGTTAAAATCACTCACCCACATTCTCATCCCCACCACTTTTCACAAATACTACATCTATCCTGAGTTGAAAAAGATTTTAGATAATACTTCAGATGACATCAAACCAATGAGTGAGTGCCTGATTTGCAGTAAGCACCAAAGAGTGGAGAAACAAACAAAATGGAATCTGGACGAACAGAATCCCCACCCCAAGCAGCAACCACCTGACTCTGGAAACAAAGAAGGGACTGGCTGAAGGCAGAGACGCAAAAGACAGGCCAACTTTGACTTCTTTTGACCAGAGGCTGTTTGTAAGATGCAAATATGGTATTTCTATTCAAAAAAGACTTTCAATTTTAAAGTATCTGAGATATCCACTGTAAGTATAGGATGGAATTTCTCTCTTATTTGAGAAGACTTCTGTCTTTATGGGCACTATTTAGTAAATCATCTCTTCTGGTTTAACAAATATACTCTGTAGCAAGAGAAACATAAATTCATCTCAGAGGGGTACCTTGCTGATTCAAAAAGAGTCAACAATCCCTATCTAATAATGCAAAGCTGTTGTCACTGAATCAGTAAGTTCACTCTGATCTAAAGGAAACAGGCACACTTGGGAACCCATGCATGCGTCATCATCTATCTGTGAGTCTACCAAACACGTACGCTCTTGAAAGCAAGCCATTTTCAAGTGTGCTTTAAGCTCATATGGTATAACCTATAGGGAAATAATTAAAATCAACTTACCTCCAGGGACCTGACAGCAGTCTGCATCTCGGCCAGCTGGCGCACTTGAGTCCTCTGGAACATTTTCGGCCTGGATGCCACAGTTCTCTCTCTCTGCTCGTAATTCTGTTACTTCGGCCTCCAAGCCTTTCAATTTCTGATTCAACTGGGCCTTTTCTCGGACAAGCTTCTCCACTCGTTTGTTCTCTCTTGCAGGATCCACCTGAAGGAGTTGGTTGTGCATCTCTTCTTTATCTTTCTCTAGCCTTGAAACCTAAGAATAATTAGAATTAACTTACCTTAAATTATTAATTTTTTAGTATTACACAATTTAGGAGGTGGAAACAGAATTAAACACTGTGTTAAACATAAAAAGGTTAGGTACTATAAAAAATTTGGGAAAGTCAAAGGTCATTGGTTCAGAGCTAGAAGGAAACTAAAATATCATCTGCTCCAACCCCCTCATTTTCTAAAGGAAAAAACTGACAGGCAGAGGTAAATAACTCACCCAGAATCATAGAGGTATACATGGTCATGAGAGCTATAACTATTTCTTTTGCATCTCACCATAGTTCCTGGTCACATGTTAACAAGTCAAAATATTTTTCTGAGTTAAAAAAAAAGGAAAAAGTGATATGTTGGCAGGGGCAGTGGCTTGGAGAATTAGGAGTACTTGGCTCCCATTTCTTATAGGATACATGACCTCGGGGCCTAGTGCAGAGGGATTTATAGCTCATTGCCTAGCTCAGTGCCTAGTACATAATCGGAATTTAATAAATGATTACTGACTTGTCCATTGATTAACTGAAGTATAGTCCTAGGAAACCTAAAAAGGAGAGTACTAAATATTCATTTATTAAATTCCTATTATGTGCTGCGCACTGAGCTAGGTAATGGGATATAAATGGGAAAAATGAAATAGTATCTGCTCAAGGAGTTTACATTCTACCAAAATAAGAATGTGTACGCACATGCATAGCCATACACACATAAATATGTCCACAACACTCAAAAAGTTCAAGGCAGTTTGGCAGAAAGAGCACTTGCAATTGGGGTGACAAGGAAGGTGTCATGTAGAAGCTGGTACAGGGGGAGCTTTCTGAAGGACATTCTATGAGGCAGAGGAAATGTCTTTCAGGAATGGGGAACAATCAATGTAAGGGAAGAGACATGTGAATAACAGAGAGAAAGTCAGTTTGGGTAGACCACAAAGTTCAGGGAGTCATGCAGGATGAGCCTGGAAGGACAGGTTGTGAAAGGGCCTTAAGAGCCAGAGTTTACATTTTATCCTGGAGGCATGAGGGAGCCATTGGTGTTTAGTGAGTAGGAAGGTGGGGGCATGACCAGATCTATACTTAAGAAAATCACATTGGCAGCTCCATGGAGGAAAGATTGAACCGGGGAAAGATTTGAGGTAGTGGGACCAATTAGAAAGCCACTGCAATAATCCAGGGGAGAAGTGGTAAGGTTTCTCAGGCAACTCTCTAAGACTACAGGTTGCAGGAAGAGTGGTTGATCAATATCGCAAATTGTCTAAAATGACTAAGTAAATGGGTCCAGACCACCTCTCATGTCCCAAAAAAACCTATTTTACAGAGGCGCTGTGAGGCTCAAATGAGGCAATGTATGTAAGGCATTTTGCAAACATTAAAGCACTATATAATATCAATAGTGATGATGATGATGATGATGATGATGACGACAACGACACTACATTTCCCAAGTAAAATGTAAGCTGCTTGAGGGTAGGGAACGTTTTCTTTTTTGTCCTGGTACCCTAAACCTTTAGCATAATACCAGTCACAGAGCAGGTACTGAGTAAATGTATCTTCAATTAAAAACCATATTGGGTAAAACATAGGCCTCATTTCCCCTCAAATCTGGCTCTTCCCAAATGTGAGTATAGATATCATGGTACAAGTAATGAGAAAGAGAAGGAATCTTTATCTGAATGGGGAAAATATATATACACACACACACACACTTTTTTTTTTGAAACTCACAAAAGTTATATTTGATGCAGGAATTTTGTGTAAAGTTGTTTATCTTAGCCAGTTTCCTCTTCTGATGCTCACTGTACCATGTAAGTGGCACTGGGTTATGTCGACTGAGTCTAAGTTCTGACAGACCCTTTCAACATGTGAATTATTTTACACCTTTTGTCCAAGGACAAACCTAGTTAAATTCAAAGAGACTCATCACCAGGAAGAAAGACATTTTCAGCCGTGGGAATTAACACAGAGTTTCTAAGGTATAAAGAGGCTGAGGTTTCCATCGGTTGAGACAGTACCCACAAAAGTCAGGGCTTCTTGAAATTCTGGAACTAAGTAATGGTGTATAGTTCTTGTTCAGTGTTCGTGTGTGCATGTGTGTACACATACATATGTGCGCATGTGTTTTTCCTTTCAAAGAAATCTCCTTTAGATATCTTTTAAAGAGATGGCAGGCAAATTAAGAGTTCCCAGGTCAAGGAGAAAATATTGCAAGCATCCAGAAAGAAACAATGCAAGTATTGTGGAAACACAATCAGGATAACACAAGATTTAGCAGCTTCTACATTAAGGAACAGAGGGCATGGAATATAATATTCCAGAGGGCAAAGGAGATAGGATTACAGCCAAGAACCACCTACCCAGCAAAACTGAGTATAATCCTTCAGGGGAAAAAATGGACATTCATTGAAATAGAGGACTTTCAAGCATGCTTGATGAAAAGACCAGAGCTGAATAGAAAATCTGACTTTCAAATACAATACTCAAGAGAAACATGAAGAGGTAAATAGGAAAGAGAAATCATAAGGGACTTACTAAGGTTGAATTGTTTATATTCCTGCATGGAAAGATATTTGTAACTCATGAGACCTTTGTCAGTATTATAATAGTTGGAGGGAAAAAATTACAAAGAAAGACAGACAGAAAGAAAGACAGAAAGACAGACAGGAAGGAAGGAAGGAAGGAAGGAAGGAAGGAAGGAAGGAAGGAAGGAAGGAAGGAAGGAAGGAAGGAAGGAAGGAAGGAAGGAAGGAAGGAAGGAAGGAAGGAAGGAAGGAAGGAAGAAGAAGAAGAAAGAAAGAAAGGAAAGAAAGAAAGAAAGAAAGAAAGAAAGAAAGAAAGGAAGGAAGGAAGGAAGGAAGGAAGGAAGGAAGGAAGAAAGGAAGGAAGGAAGGAAGGAAGAAAGAAAGAAAGGAAGAAAGAAAGAAAGAAAAAAAGAAAGAAGGCACAGGGCGAGTTGAAGATGAAGGGGTGATATCTGTAGAATAAAATTAAGGGGTGAGAGAGGATTATACTGAGAGGAGAAAGGGAGAGACAGAATGGGGTACATTATCTCACGCAAAACAGACAAGAAAAGGTTCTTACATTGGAGGGGAAACTGGGGAAGGTGAGAGGAAATGAGGGAATCTTATTCTCATAGGATTTGGCTTAAGGAGGGAATAACACACACACTCAATTGGGTATGGAAATCTGTCTTACCCTACAGGAAAATAGGGGAGGAAGGGGACAAGAGAGCAGGGGGATGATAGAGAGAAGGGCTGACTGGGAAAGGGGTAATCAGAAGGAAGTAAGAATAGAATAAATACAGGGGGGCAGGATAGGATTAAGGGAAATAGAGTTAGTTTGTCACAACATGTCTACTAAGGAAATGTTTTGCACAACTGCATTTGTATGGCCTGTACTGAGTTGCTTGCCTTTTCAATGAGGGTGGGTGGGGGAAAATAAGAAATACAGGAAATGAGGTACAAAATCTATCCTGCCCTACAGGAAAACAGAAGGGGATAAGAGAAAGGGGGGGGGAGATAGAAGGGAGGACAGACTAGGGGAAGGGGTATTCAGAATGCATGCCATCTTGGGGTGGGGGGAGGGCAAAATGGGGTGAAATTTTGGAATTCAAAATCTTGTAGAAGTAAATGTTGAAAACTAAAAATAAATTTATATTTTAAAAAAAGAATCTTATTCTCACTGGCTTTGGCTTAAAGAGAAAATAACATAAACCCTTAATTGGGTATGGAAATCTCTCACCCTACAGGAAAATGGGGGGGGAGGGGCGGCAAAGGGGACAAAAGAGCAGGAGGATGATAGAGAGAAGGGCAGATTGGGGAAGAAGATAATCAGAAGCAAACACTTCTAAGGAGGGACAGGGTCAAAAGAGAGAATAAAATAAATGGGGGGCGGAATAGGATTAGGGGAAATATACTTAGTTTTTCGCAACATGACTACTATGGAAGTGTTAACACATGTATAACCTGTATTAAATTGCTTGCCTTCTCAATGAGGGTGGGTGGGGAGGGGAGGAAGGGAGAAAATTTGGAACTCAAAGTTCTGAAAACAAATGTTAAAAAAAAATTGTTTTCACATGCAACTGGGACATAAGATATACAGGAAATGGGTTACAGAAATCTATCCTGCCCTACAGGAAAATATAAGGGGAAGGGGATAAGAGAAGTGGGGGAGAGACAGGAAGGGCAGATTAGGGAAAGGGGTATTTAGAATGCATGCCCTCTTGGGGTGGGGGGAGGGATGATATGGGGAGAAAATTTGGAACCTAAAATCTTGTAGAAGTAAATACTGAAGATTAAAAATAAATAAATTAATTTTTTAAAAAAAGAGCTGGCAGGGGAAGAATTCTAAACCAAAAAAGGGATGGAGACAATCACAAAGGATAAAACAGGTAATTCCAACTACATGGGTTTGAAAAGCTTTTACATGAACAAAATCATTGCAGCTAAAGTAAAAAGTGAAACTGCTAGTTTGGAAAAAAATCTCTGTCCTTAATATCACTGATATTTCAAGATATACCAGAGAGTTACAAAAAATATTTATGACCGGGGCATCCTCCAATGGATATGTGATAAAAGAATGTGAATTACAAGTTCTCAAACGAATTTCAAACCATTAACAGCCACATAAACGATTACTTCAAACCATTAACAACAAGAGAAATGCAAATCAAAACAATTCTGAGGGTTTCACCTCACACTCAAAAACTGGCAAAGATGGAAAAAGACAGGAAGTCAGTGTTGGAGGAGCTGTGCAGAGACAGATGCACTAAGACACTGCTGATGGAGCAGGCTGGAAAGCAATTTGAAATTAAGTCTCTGACCCAGACACCCCACTACTACATATATACCCTAAGAATGTCAAAAACAAAGAGATCCCTTATTCACATCAAAATATTAATGACACTTTTTGTGATAAGTGATAGAAATTAGGGTTAGAGTCGGAGTTGGATTATACAGACCAAACTTGTTCCCAAAGAAGGCAGGAAAATATGGAACGC